CTTGATTCTCATGATTTCATAATTCTGAAAAACATTGTTTTATAGCAAGTGAGTGTAAGTAACCCTGATCACAGGTATAAAAATGAAGCTGCAATGTGTTGAATCGGAACCTACCTATTTTTTTATTATTATGGGGTTAGATTTTGATAAGTTCTTTAGTGGGAATGACACTGATGAAGACTGCACATTGTAGTCGACATACGTATCTGGAATGGATACCAAAAATAATTAAGTGGAATTAAGTGGAAGATAACCCCTTTTTTGCAGGATATCAGGGGTTTAACGACCGGAGGAAGGAAAATCGGTATTTTGTTTTATTATTTTACTTTATTATGCTCCTACTGGGATTTTGCGCCAGCCCTCAACTTATTGTTCTTGTTTAGCAATTCTCCACAGTTTTTAATTGAGAGATTAGCCACTACCATTTTTCCTTTAGTACAATTGACTGGAAGTCGAAAAATTTGTAAACCCGAAAAATTCCTAGACCGAACCGGGAATTTAACCTAGCCGCCTCCAGCATGGTCTTGCTTTATAGCTGTGCCTTTACCGACTTAGCTAAGGGAAGCCCCGTGGTACGATTAGAAAAGCGGTATTGCGGTTATGAAATAGATTATGCAATCGTCAATCATACAATGACACTGTTTCTTTGATAGACCGGCAGAATGGCTACCAGTATCGAGGGGCTCACCGTTGTACATCTAACACTCCTTCTCAAAGGTTAACCCTCGGATGTCCTTCAGTCCATACAGTGACTCCCCTCTGTTCCACTTTATTTACCCAGTAACTGCCTACCACTCTTCTAGCAGGTCCCAGGCTCCGTTCGCCATTTCCTAATGGTAGTTCACATACTTCATCTTTTCATTGAAAGTCACTGGTTCCTCAATCTAGTGAGTAGCAACACCCACCACGTAGTCCGAGAAACGCTTCGGCAGTTTGATGTGATTCATCCGTATTGACGGCTGATCTTCAGGAACGCCTTCACTGTCCAGTAAATCCTCAGACGGTTCCACTAAACTGATGCAAAATTTGAAATTTTCGTGTTCAAATGGTTTCAAATCAGGTCCTGATTAGCCTCCGGAAGTTTAAACTCATTTGATAAGAAACTAACTTAGCACAAACCATTTGAAGTTTATATGGAAATTACTATGGGAAAACAAAACTTTTTGTTCATTGTATTCTAGCCTTTTTACATATTGTACTGTTAACAAATTCTATTGCTATTCTTATGGGAATTTTTATCAGCTACAACTTTGCAGAAAATCATTTTTCAGCCAAACGTCAAATTAAATAGTTATTAATTGTTTAAGAGATTAATAATCTTATGCAAGATTAAGCAACTGTATTGTGGGCAACACTGTATTCTGCAGTGTGACATAGTAGCCATGATTGTTGTCCTCTATTCTACGCGCCATAAACACCAATGTTGCCTGCTGAACAGTTGATTGAGCATAATCATAAGACATGAGTGACTAGAATCATTAATATTTTTTGTTCCTTAGATTTGATCGAAAAGTGGTCTTGAACAAAGTTGTAGCTGAGAAAACTTTCTAAAGTAGAGTGAACTGGTGAATTTTGAGATCAATATGAACCTAAATTATGGTTTCTCCATAGTAATTCCCATATAAACTTCAAATGGTTTGTGCCAAGTCAGTTTCTCACTAAATGAGTTCCAAATGTATGAAACTAATCAAGGCCCAATTTTGAACCGTTTGAGCACTGTGGAGCGAAAATTTCAAATTTTGCATCAGTCTACGACTCCACCTTAATCATCAACGGGCTGAAAGTCTTGCTAATAAAGATAACCTAACTAACCTAATCATCAACGGGTCTTCTTTGTCATCATAAACATCAGAGGAATGCATGTCAAAGAACTGTTCGCTTTCGATTTTTTCACAGCTGTCGATTTTTTCACTCTAATTGCCTTCAGGTTTACAGATCTCCTTCTATTGATCCGCTGGCTCCAATTTCCGCAACGACAATCAGGTCGTCACGATAATAAAAACAAACGCTTGAAACAAATTTCACAGAATTAAAAAAAAACCCGAATTGATCCACCTATGGTGTGATCAGACCCTTCTTACTTATTCAAGTTTATTTCTTTTATTGTCATTATCAGTGACCAAGCCCCCCACCCCCGTGTCATCCAGTGACGCTACGCTACTGCCTGGGGGTACCCGGAATATATCCGGGTGTAGTCTATTTGGTGAGGCTACCAATCACCTTATCATCGTATTTTAATGTGATTTAATGGGTTTTAATTCAATTCATATTCAAGCAACTTCCCCGGGGTACCCGGAACATGTCCAAGTGTGTCCAATGTGGTCTGGAACACTTAACACGACTTGCATTGATCTTATTTTTGAATTCTGTAGTAATTTGATGTGTGGCATGATGGTTTTGATACGTTCACCGGTTCACCGATTCCAAAACCGTTCAATAGCGTTCAATGAGACCCCAAGACCTATCATTTGGCGCCGAGTTTGTCCAAATCGGTTGAGCGGTTGCTGATGAACGTAAGCGCATTCATTTCGTTACATACACACACACATACACACATACACACATACACACACACACACACACACAGACATGTTCCGATCTCGTCGAGTTGAGTCGAATGGTATATGACACTCGGCCCTCCGGGCCTCGGATCGATAGTCGGTTTTTCAAGTGATATCTATACCCTTCTTTGTAAGAAGGGTAAAAAGCATATTGGCTCTAGCATGCTTAATTTACATGGGAAAACATAATCAAAACATTTAAAAATTTGTTAGCATGTCAATGTACACATTTTGTTTTTGTCATATAGATCAGAGAACTTAAGGCAGTTCCATTAATTTCAGGAAAATAACAGGAAATTAATAAAAGTTCTAATAAATACAGGGAACTTTAGAAAAAAATTCGAAAGCTCAGAGCTCTTTAGATTAATTTCGAATACTTCAGTGATGTTTCGAAAATTTTAGTGAATATCCGAAGCATTCAGAGAAGTTTCAAAATTTTCTGGAAAGTTTTATGAACTACAGGAAAGTCTAGAACTTTAGGAAGATTGAAGATCTTTAAAGGATCCGTTGGTTGGTTCCAAGAAATTCAGTTTAGTAAAATCGTACCGTGTAAATTGTGACTCAGCGGCACCAACCGTGTAAAAAACACCGTAAAAAAGACTTGAGTGTATTTCGAAGATGATCAGAGATCTTCAGATCACTTTCATTAATTAATCGCAGGAACTTTTAAGAAGTTCCGAAGAATTATGGAATATTCTGAGAATTTCATGAATGTTTTGAACATTTCTGTAAATATGTGGAGAATTAAGGGAAGTACATGAATGTTATTAAAAAAAATGGAGTGCTGGAGAAGTTCCAAGAACTACTTGAAAAAATAGGAAACGTCAAGTACAATTCATGAACTTCTTGAAAATATAGGAAGCTTCAGGAAAGTTCTTAGATTTTAATGGAAGTTCCATGAGCTTCAAGGAAGTATCTAAAATATCACAGCATTAGGATAGGTCAAAGAATTTCAGGGCAGCTCAATTATTTTCAGAAATATTGTGTCAACTTTTAAAACCTCTGAGAAATTCAGGTCTAAATAACATTATTGAAGTTCAGAGATTTTTGTTGCAGTTCCAATAACTTCAGGGAAGCTACGAAAACCTCAGAAAAGTTTAGACTTTTGATCTTGAAGAATTATTTATTTTGTTCGGCTTTCAGGCTGCAAGATTTTTTTTTATACTTTTAACATCGTCAACGTTTCTATCCAGGTGTTAGGATCTTCATCAGGGCTAGTTTTAGTTTAAGATCGTTAAGATTTTTGAGCTATGTCCAGAGACCGAAACGTCAAAAAACATTCTAGCGTTTTGATCAGGATTGTTAATTGACAGACGTCGATAAATTTACATTGCATTGTTTCAACGGTAAACTGAAAATCCAATATCCGAAAAATTTAATATTTTTTAATTTTTTTTTTTTTTTAGTAGAAAAGTTTCCCATATTCTTTTTTCCCTTGATTTGTTTTCCGTCGTTTCCCGTGCTGAGCACCAATGCTACCGACGCCATGCAGGCAACTCCCACACCTGGACCCTACCTATCGACCCATCAACTTATGAACCGGGGACCAACGGCTTTACGTCCCCGAAGGAAGGCGTGATCAGAGATGTTATACCTTAGAACATCCCGGCGGTCCCGACTGGGATTGAACCCAGGCCTGCTGAGGTGAGAGGTAATCACGCTTACCACTACAGCACCGGCACCACTGGGTACACATATTCTAGTTTTAATTAGAGAGAACTAAATTGTGTGTACATTCCGAAATTAAAATTATGGGAGCTCCATCAAGGGGCGCATACATATATGAAAAATCAGTGAGTAACCAGGTCCAAAATTTCCATGACCGCACTGGAAATGTGTTATTTTATTATTGAAAAAAGTTTTCCTAGAAGTAAAGAAAACAGGAATTTTGTAGTGGGAAGAAATACTAATAGCTGTGTATAAATTTCTAGTTGGAATGCTTTAATTGGTTTGAAATTTCGATTTCACTCCCCTCACCGCCCCTCCTTAAAGGGTGATTTTGGAAAAGGGAATGCTCGACCCGATTCGTACCTTCCTCAAAATTGTCCTTTGGCCGTTTTCTACTTTCTATATACGATTTTCACACTGCCGTACTATTATGGAACTATCAATTCTATACGTTCATATACTCATCTATCGTATAAAATGTTCACTTTAAGTCTGATATTGACAGTAATCATCTCCAACTATGTGTGAATGAAGGAAGCAAAATCAATTATCAAAACCGAAATTTGATAAATTCTAAATCTACCGAGCTGACGTCAAACTTTGCGCAGTTCCTAATGCTTGTGCACTCGTAGATTTTCTCTCGTAGAACACGGGAAGTAGTGTTTGCTGTGGTAATATTTCAAAAATATTGATGAATCATATTCGGAAATGCACAGTATATCAGTCTGTTTTGCATTTATAACTTATATATGGCATTTTGTATCATTCCAGATGACAGCTTCTCGAAGAAAGATGCTACTGACACTGCTGGTCCTGTACCAATGTATTTTCGAAGCTCATTCCGTAGCAGGGAACAGGCAGTTGAAAGACGTGCAAGTTAAAATACCGATGCAGATTCGTGCCCGCCGTTACTGTACCGATGCTGATTGTATCAAAACCTGTCCCATGGATTTTGAATTAGATAACGATAAGCAGTTCTGCCGCTACAAGCGATCGGCTTGTCCAGCCAACTACGTACGTCGGCACGGGAGTTGTGTCCTATCGGAGATTCAGTGTCCCCCAGGAAGTGTCCGCCAGGGCAACAGATGTGTCGTCAAAACTTTGGATTGTCCCACCGGTTACATTCTCGAAGGCAACAACTGCGTCAACGCCAGATACTGCCCGGAAGGATACCACTGGGAAAATGGCTTCTGCTACCATCAACCGCGCACGCAAATTTGTCCCAACGGTTACGAGAATCGACAAGGAAAATGTATCCAAATCTGCGTTAACTGTGATGCGGCGTGCTCGGATTGCGAAGAGGAGAGTGTGACCTTGAAATGTCCTGCAAGCTACGAATTGTACCGAGGCAAATGTTTAAAGATTGTTCAGGGCAGAGCTGATGTAGTGCTGAGGAATGCTACTTACAGGGTACCAGTTGAATGCGACAATGAGGATGTTTACAACAATGGCTTATGTATGAGGAGGAAGTTCGAAAGTCCGCGTTGTGACACAGGAAGCTTCTATGCTGGGAAATGCGTGGAGGTGGCTAGGTGTTCGCAAGGTGTGTTTAGCAATGACTGTGAGTGTCTTGTGGAAAGCACGTTGCCAGCAGTGTGCCGTCAAGGTCAACCTGGTGCTTCTGGATGTGTGATTTCAAAAAGTCAATGTCGCAAACCTTCACTGCTCGTGAATGGATTATGTGAGGGGAAGTTAGATTCACATCGAGCGTTCTGTGCATCCGGATCTCCTTTTGATAGCATGTATTGCACTTCAAAAGCACCAGTTTGTCCAACTGGGCTTGTACTAGAAGGATCGTTCTGTAAGAGGAATGTATCGCACCCTGTGGATTGTGGAAGATTCCAATGGCGTGATGGATGGTGTAGTACTAGTGCAACATGTGAATCGGGATATAAATTACAAGAGAATGGTGACTGTGTCCGGGAAATGAGGACGCAAACGGATTCATGTCTAGCGTCCACAACGTACGATGGAGAGCACTGTGTGAGCAATGCTCCGTTGTGTGAACCAGATCACGAGTACGACGAACGATATGGGATTTGTGTGCGATGTATGGAGCAGCCGGCTGTTTGTGATACAACTTCCGGATATCAGTTGAACAATGGAACGTGCGTTAAATACGAACCTCTCTGCCCGCCGGGATTCAAATGGAAACATAATCACTGTGAAAGCAGCTCGTCTAGCTATGTAGAATGTAAATCAGGACAATTTTTCGACAATTACTGCGTCCATAGCCACCTCAACTGTCCTGACAATCAAGAACTCATAGATGGAGTTTGTGTTCATCAGGAAGTACCTAGCTGTCCAGAAGGCGCCGTCTACCAGAATGGACTTTGCGTAGCAGTTAAACAATGCCCTCCTGGCTATACCGTTGGACAACACAGCTGTATCGAAGAAACGCGTACTGCTTTGAACGCCTCTGTTAAACCTGAATGTCGACATGGTTTTCACTATGAGAAAGCCAACTGCATTAGGACGATCCGTACAGATGTTGTTAAAGATTCAAGGCCTGTACAGTGCGCCATTGGATACACCCTGCAAAATGGAAAATGTATTAAGGAATATCACGGATTACTGGTGTGTCCTCCAAAAACCATCCACATGAACCAAGAAAACAAATGTTTCTGTAAAGTTGATCTCGTGTGTCCCAGTGGCTATGAAAGAATGGGTGAGGAATGCGTTTTTCGATCGACAAACTATTACTCTCCATATCTTAACTTCCTGAACCCTTGCCACGGCATCCAGTGCAGTCTGCAGTACTGTTTATCTCAATGTTTCAGTCCACCATGTCCAGTGCAACCATGTTCATACGGAGTTCAGCACTTCAGCTCCGTGTACGGTGGCGGCAGTCAACAGAATTCTGATATTTGTGGCATTGGAGAAACCTGTACGACCATTGATAAACAGGAAACTATCGTCAGCCTGACATGTCCTCCCGGTTACGACAAGGAGAACAATACATGCATAACATTTTACAGTAGGATTTGTCAAAGTGGTTACAAGATGGTCGATGGTGTATGCTTAAAAATCGAAGAGTCAAACATCATGTGCCCTTTAGGATACGGATTGACGAATGGAACGTGTATTCGCCTACATTGTGATGCAGGATACACACGGGAAGGTACCACCTGTGCCAAGATAGAGTACCATACGCCTTTTGCCTGTCCGAAGAACTACATCTACATTGAAGGCATTTGTTTGCATAAAAGTGACTGTCCCGGTGGTTCCGTTGAAGGTAACCAATGTGTTCGGAGAAGATACGTTCACTTCAGATGTCCTCCGAAATTTACTCAGATCAACGATACTTGTGTGTTGATTGCCACCTGCCCAAGTCAAAACCTGTTCTTTACCGATAGCGTTTGCAGAAGTGCAGAGCAAATACAGCTCCGATGCCCTCCGGAAACGAAACGAGTCAAGGAAATGTGTGTGTATGATAAAGGATCAAAGTTTGAAAAAATCAGCCTGGAGCCATCGAGATGCAACGGAAGAGTGATAGTACCAGATAATATGTGTGCCTACATTGAGACTCCTTCTTGTGACAAGGGATATGTTTTAAAAAACGGCAGATGCGTCACTTGCGCCTCGAAGACTCCACACTGCCCGTCCGATATGGTCATCATCAATCGGAAGTGCATCAAATATCATAAACTGTGCAGAGATGGATGGTACCTTAACAAGGAAGGACAGTGCATAGCAGTGACCATACGGTCAGCAACATGTGCTCAAGGCAGGATTTCCTTCAACAGATGCATACAAGGTTTTCCCTCATGCAAGATAGGTTATACTATCGTTGGAAATATGTGTGTACACAAGGAAATGGTTTTAGCGAAATGCAACGAAGGAATATTGCTCGATGGTACATGCGTCAGTCTACTACAATGCAATGGACCAGACTTTGTTATGTCTAATGGATGGTGTGTACGAAATGAGTATTCTGAACCCTCTTGCAATAGCAGAACAGCAAGAATGCGGGACGTCTGCATCAGCGGTAATCCCAAGTGTCCAGAAAACCATTATCAACTTAACGGACAATGCTGCTCACATCGAGTACAACAAGCAGAGTGTTCAAACAATGCCCGATGTCTGGAGAACTTCTGTCCCGTCTCATACCCTAGTTGCAGCACTTCATTCAACTTCGATGGATCCGTCTGCACCAAGGTGATCTCTCATTCTCCTAAGTGCCCTAGTGGAACAAGTCCAGTCAGTAGCGATCGTGACTACTGTCAGTATTCTACGGAACAAGCCGATTTCTATTGTCCCAATGAATACAATTTTAAAAATGGCATCTGCCAAAAACGCCAATACGTGGAAGCAAGCTGCCCAAGCGGGTTCCGCCGAAAGTTGGATTCCTGTATTCGTAAAGTATGCAACAATGCTGCCCTTACTGTTTACTGCGGTTCGCAGGGACAATTTTCACCATCGCTATCACCTGTAACGCATGTCCCTCATTTTCCTGCCCCAAGACCGTTCAACACATCAACCTCATCCGTTGCGCAGGGCGAAGTCTGTTGCCGAATCCACTCACCCAGGATATGTAGATTTGACGAAAACGCCGACGAATGGAATTGCTACCATACAGAACATAATCGATGCGGATCATTCTGTTATCGTCAAGACCAGCGCATCTATCTGCGCACTTCAGAGTCGTACTATTTCAATGATGTTTTGATTCTGATACCTCCAGAGCACGGTACGGAAATCAGAATTGAAGATTTTGATGAAAACTATGATTACGTGGACGATACAAAACCGAGTAAGTATATAGATTATAATCACTCCAGTCAACTCTTCCAGAATTGATAATAACGTGTTATTTCGAGAAACTGCGTTAAAACCGGTAGAGGTGGAAAGTCGATATCAAATTATATTTTGGGATCACATACCCATATGCCCTCCTATCGCTTGGCATGGCTATGATGTATGTCTGTATGCCTCACCCCGGTCTACTGTGGTATATTCCAAGGAGGAGGGCAAAAAGATGTTCATACTTGTTCTGCATTATATGACAAGTGTTGTAGTATTATGTACCTACATTAATCATTAAACATGATTTTGAGAACCCGAAGTCGTCTAAGTTCTTCAAAATGTTCTGGAGTTAAGATCTCGATGTTCTATAGGCTCAATGTGGTTTGATACGAACGATCCCGACTTACTCAACACATCCGAACTTTGTAAAGCTTCATAATTACTATATATGTGCATCATAGAATGGTAACAACACAGACAAACAGACATAAAACATTGAATATTTCTCATTGTAAAACATCGTCGCTTAAACATTACCGCCATCTGTTGAGTACACTGTGGTGGGTAGTACGCTGATCAGATGGCGGTAGTGTGTAAACGTCAAACGCAAGGGAATTTACTATGCGCGCCACAGGTGGCAGTACTACCAACTGATATACTTTCAAATAGACCGTTAAATGCTTGTTCGATGAACAACTTATGAGAGTTATGTCTGTTTATCTGTGGTAACAATAATATATACAATGCTCTCCAAACTATTCTGGAGCTTGAAGTTCTACACGCTCAATATAGTCTTGAATAATGTCCTGAAAATCTTTATTAATCCCTAGAGCTATAGAGAGTCTCCTGACACACAGAAAAAAATCTGAATTTTGACTGTCGCTTAAAATCTCCTCTCGTTTAATGTTGATCTATTGATCGCATCTACTAAAGAGCCTGAATTTATAAAGAGACGACATCTTATCCATTTTACAGGTCTTCTGCTCGATTGAAATGACTTTTCCTATGACTTTGACAGACAATCGATTGTTCCAATTTTTACATGTAGCCTCTTTATAAATTTAGGCTCTTTAGCATCTACGTGGTGCGAAGTCACTGGAAATGGTTGTGAACTACAACTACAAAATTAACGGGTATGAGGTGTAGCTCCCTCAACTGGACCATACCTATCGACCCATCAACTCATGGACCGGGGACTAACGGCTTTACTTCCCTTCCGAAGGAAGGCGTGATCAGAGATTGTATGTCTCAGAAAATCCCGGTGGTGCCGACTGGGATTGAACTCAGGCCCTTTGGGGTGAGAGACAATCATGGTTACCACTACACCACCGGCGCCACTATCACTAAGATATTAATTGCACTTCAAACTATTCTGAAGCTAAGATCTTGGCTCAATATAGTCTTGAGCAATGTTCTGATAATCTTTATGAATCCATGAAACTCAATAGGGACTCCTGACAACATGTTCAGCTTGGATTGGTAACATTAAGATTTTTAATACTATCCAAACTTTTCTGGGCTACGATCTAAGGCTCAATGGAGTCTTGAACATTGTCCTGAAAATCTATATGAGTCCATGAAGCTCAAGGGAGCCTTTTGACAACATGTTTACCTTGGATTGGTATAATTGAGATTTTTATTACTATATGGTGACCCCGGCGTAGTGGTTAACACCCATACCTCTCACGCCAAAGTCACGAGTTCAAATCTCACCCCCGGACATGTCACGAATGACCCAAGAGTGTTAAAGTGACTATAATAAAAAAATATATATTTATTACTCTCCAAAATATTCAAGAGTTAATATCTTGAAGATCTATAGGCTCAATAGAGTCGTAAACAATGACCTGAAATTCATTATGAGCTCGTGAAAATCAAGATAGCTTCTTTATATCATGCACATCATGGAATAGTATGAAAACGGTTTTTAATACTCTTCAAACTGTTCTGGAGCTAAAATCTATAGGAGCCCATGAAGCTCAAGAGAGCCTCCTGACAACATGCACATCATGGATTGGTATCAGTAAGAATTTCAATATTCTCAAAACTATTTTGGTGTTCGTGAAGCTCAAGAGAGCCTCTTGATAACATGAACATCATGGTTGGTTGATGGTTTTTATTAAGGAGATTTTCAGCCAGACACTGGATCATCTTCAATGTACACCATAGATTGGTATCACTAAGATATTATTTGTTTTCAAAACTATTCTGAAGCTAATATCTTAAACATCTACAGGCTTGATAAAGTCTTGTACAATGTGCTGAAAATCTGTATGAGTTAATGAAACTCAAGGGAACCCCTTGACAACATGCACAGCATGGATTGGTATCAATAAGATATTTATTGCTCTCGAAAGTATTCTAGAGTAAAGATCTTGCAGGTTCAATAAAGTCTTTAAAAATGTCCTGAAAACCATTATGATTTCGTGAAACTTAAGAACATTTAATTACCTACAACTTCTTCTCAGATGTTATTTTGATCAGATCAATCATTTTCATGTTATGATTTTTTGAAGAAATATAATCCAGTTTTTAATACGCCTTTTTCAAAAGTTAGAAAATCATATTTGAATAAAAAATTGAACCATTGGTAGCAGGGATCTCCCTTAGCTCAGTCGGTAAAGGCGCAGCTACAAAGCAAAACCATGCTGGAGGTGGCTGGGTTCGATTCCCGGTCCGGTCTAGGAATTTTTCGGGTTGGAAAATTTCTCGACTTCCCTGGGCATAGAGTATGATTGTACTTGCCACACAATTATACTAATGCAAAAATGGTACAGGCATCGAAAGCTCTCAATTAATAACTGTGGAAGTGCATCAAGAACACTAAGTTGAGAGCACGCAATAAGCTAATATGCCATACGCAATAAGCTTGAAATGCGAGGAAGAAGAAGAAGCAGCGAACATATGAGTAGTTTCATTCAAATCACGAACACCCATGTCCAACCGGTTTGTGTTTTGGGCTGAAAATGCTCATAATTGACTTTTTTTTTTTTTTTTTTTTTTTTTATTATAGTCACTTTAACGCTCTTGGGTCATTCGTGACTTGTCCGGGGGTGAGATTTGAACTCGTGACTTTGGCGTGAGAGGTATGAATGTTAACCACTACGCCGGGGTCGCCCCCGTAACATAATTGACTTGTTAACGCTGAAATCATGGATTTATTTGATGTTTTCTGCTCGATAGGCCAAAAATGGGCGATTAGGCCGATATAGATCTCTACCCTATATAAATTAATTTGGATCTATGACCGGAATGTGAAACCTTGGGGCCGTAGGGTGGTCGTCTGGAAAATTCGGAAGTAGGAGTTTATGACTTATATGACTAGTCATTTCATGAAACTTATTCTAGAGCTCTGCGATTTTTTTTAAGAAGATGCAGTGATCTATACATAAAATTTATAAAATTTATCAGCTTCAACTTCAAGGTGGATCCGTCAGCTTCAAGCAAACTGCAGCAACTTTTAAGGAGTTCTTCAACTTCAAGGATATCCCGAAAACTTCAGAGATGTCACGAAATTATCTGAGAAGTCTGCAGAACTTTAGGAGAATTATGGAAAATTTCAAGAAAGAAAGCTAGCTCTATATTTCTCCAGGAAAACTCAGGGATCTTAAAGGCAGTTCCAAAAACTTCAAGAAAGAACAGACTTTCAGCCAAAGTTAAAGATCTGTAGTTTTTGGGAGAGGATACCAAGTGGTACTAAGATCTGTAAATTTTGAATTCCATAAATTCAGGACAGCCTTATGAGCTTCAGGAAAATGTTGAGAGAACTGCAGTTTCATTTTTTTTCAGGGATTTTCCGAGTATTTCGAGCAGCTCCGTTAATTAATTGCAGGAACACCACCAGAGCCGATGTATTTTAGAATATTCCGAGAATTTCAGAAATGTTCCAAACATTTCTGGCTAACTGTGGGATCTCCAGAGAAGTTCTTTGAATATCAGAAAAATGTAGGAACGCAACAGAAGTTCCGAGGAAACTTCCCAAGATAGAGCTGTTTTCTCACTTCCGGATTCTAACTGAAGCAGACTTTCTTAAAGCTTAAAAAAGCAAAGCTCATTACACTTGTAGTTTAAGATGGCGTAAGATGCACCCCGGTGGGAAAATGACTTTGCGGCGTTTAAAATACATGGTTTGCCTCTTTTCGAGGATCTGTTAAGGAACATTACTAATGTAATGTTTGAACTAGCAATACTTTAAATGTTTTCAAAATTTGCAAAAAGTCATCTTTTCCCGGAGGTGCACCTTATCCTATGTACCAACTCACTTACATAATAAATGGTAAAAAGGTAAATGAATCATTAAACAATGACGATGTTCCTTAATAAGTAAAAAAAATCTCATTAAAATAGATCGGGTTGCTCCTTAAATGATTGATCAAAATACGTTAAAAATCTTAAAATGCTCAGTAAATATTTAAAGTACGCTCCCTAAAATAGAGAAAACTGTACATTAAGCATTTGAAAATGCTCCTTAGTATGCACTGCTTTGCACCATTTTGAAGTGTAATTGTACCATATATCATCGGAAAAGCTGCTGTAGAAAGGTTAATAAGTACCATGAAATCAGCTGAAATGTTCAGTAAAAAATTTTCAGGACTTCATGGTACTTATTAACCTTTCTACAGCAGCTTTTCCGATGATATATGGTACAATTACACTTCAAAATGGTGCAAAGCGGTGCATACTAAGGAGCATTTTCAAATGCTTAATGTACAGTTTTCTCTATTTTAGGGAGCTTACTTTAAATATTTACTGAACATTTTAAGATTTTTAACGTATTTTGATCAATCATTTAAGGAGCAACCCGATCTATTTTAAGGAGATTTTTTTTTACTTATTAAGGATAATTTCATCTGTTTTATTGAGCAAAAGTAGGGCTGCCCATAATGAATATTGAACATATTATCAAATTGAAAACTCTTAATAAATATTAAACTAAATACCTAGAGTATATCATTTCTTCTTTTTTAACATATAAAACATAAATAATAATCTATAAATTTTTTATTTCAACGAACCAGGCTGCGACGGATGTACGGATCGGAGCTATGATTGCGACAGCTATTGCTACACCTATGAGTGCCAGAAATCAGGGAGCCAATGCGACTTTAGGGATCAGCGTGAATTTTGCTCCGCCCACCCGGGACCTGGATGCAGCGCCAAAGATGGCTGCTATAGCCGAGATTTTTGTATTCAATAGTGTAACAGTAGTGCTAGTAGCCGTAGGTGGAACGTACTCTAGTGAACTCTCTCCATATAAATTTGTTAACAACAAACTTTCAAAATCTCATACAACATCAGGGAAAAGATTTCACTTTCCAACAAACATTTAAAAATTAATAAAAGTTTGTGAAGACAAAACTATGTTTCTTCAGTTTGAAAATGGCTTATAGTACGTTCAGACTACAGAGTTATAACATAGAGGTAACTCTAAGACCAGAAGGTACCAAAGAAACGTGCTCAACTTTTTGGCTCGTTATAACAAGTTATAGCACTATCTTGATGGTGGTTTCTGTGTTGCAATTATTTGACAACCGTTATAACATGTTATAACTCTCCAGTCTTGACAGCGTTTTATTCAGCATTTGAGTACCTCAAATTGTTTATTTGACTATTACACATAGGGGAAGTGTACCAGCTATGGCGATAGTGGTCCTCTAAGGGATCGTCCATTAATTATGTCACACTTTTAGGAGGAAGGGGGGGTTTTGGAAACTGTGACGAGCCATACAATAAAAAATTAAGATCCATACAAAAAATGTGACAAAGGGGGGAGGGGGGGTTGAAAATGGGCCAAATTTGCGTGACATAATTAATGGACCATCCCTAATTGGTAATAGCAACCGTTGGAAACTAACGATTTTAAATTGGCTCACTACTTGACTAGCCTATTGATCCCAAGTACATCTATAACCGTACCTCGTTCTAGTATAAATTCTAGTACTACACTATGTTTGTTTTGATTCGCTATGAAAGTTTGACAGATATAAGGGGGGGTTCGTGGATTTTCCTATGTTTCGAGAGATGCATCGATTACGGGTGGACGGGGGGACCGAAGATAGTACCAGAGCTGAGCCAAAAAGTTGAGCACGTTTCTTCGGGACCTACTACTCTTATAAAATTCCACACATTTTTGTTGACGAATTTCCATGTGAAATTCCACATGATTTTCATGTGACCACACATAAGCAGAATCCACACAGAAGCACACATGAAATTTATGAGTCAAATGAATAGTATGTGTGGTTACACATGGCTTTTATGTGTACACATATTAAGTATGTGTCCGACACATAGATGTCATTTGTTGATCACATTGCAAAAATTCATGTGAAGGAAACATAATCAAACAATCTTTGAAATTTTATCAGTGTAGTCTTAGAGTTACTTCTATAACATTTGTATTCTCTGCAGAAATAACGCATCGGGAAAATGCATCCACCGAATTCAGAGAATGAAGGAATATGAACTCTGGGTACCTTCATGTTCCAAATCAGAATGCTGTAAACAGTTTTCCGACACAGACGGAAAATGCAGTCATATTAAAGCATTGTAGCTAATAACATTCGTTGAATAAAAATATAAACCAAATAACCTATTTATCTTGTTGTTAACTTCAAATTTGAAAAAATAAAGAAAATCCATAAAAAATGCAGTAACAAAACAATCGGTAATTTTTACCGATCAAATTTTAGATCGACCGATAAACATTTTACAGCATTTTCGGTAAAAATTTGCAGAGCGGTATTTCAAATACAAAATTTGCAGTGTGGATCGGTAAATTTTGACAGCTCAGCTGAATATAAATTTACTGAACGTAATGTAAAACATAAAAATTACCGAATCGATTACCGATGTTCAGCTGTTCCATATTCGGTAAAAAAATGACAATGATCTGTAAAAAAATCTTAGTGTATATGGTAATACGGCCTAAAATCTTGAAATTATTATTGCTGATTGCATCTGAAACTGGACTGTCCCAAAAATGCAAAAAGTGTGATAAAAGTGCACGTTTCCGTCAAATCGTTTTGATGTCTTTGGAGCGCTTATTGCTTGCCTCATAAGGAATAAGTGCACCGAAGGCACCAAGACGATTAGACGTAGACTTGCAGTTTTATCAGACTATTTAATAAGTGAAAACGCGCTTATTAGTCCAATTTGGTGTGAAACGCGCAATATTACTTTCTAAATTTGTTCCACAAGATGTTAGTCTCAATACTGTTCTGCATGCCTACGTTGAAAATGTGGAAAAACTTATATTGAAACTGATTTAGGGCATATGGCCAATTAGGGTGGCACAGCATCTTCTTGATGGTACCGGAAACACCGGAAACACCATATGAAAATAGGCATAATTTTCAAGGATTTACAATCAAATTCGACACATTTTTATTGGCGAATATCCGTGTAAAATTCCACATGATTTTCATGTGTCCACACATAAACAGAATCCACTCATAAATACACACGAAAATTATGAGTCAAATGAATAATATGTGTTACACATTAATTTTATGTGTACACATAAGAAGTATGTGTCCGACACATATACACTCAGGTCTTTTTTTACACGGGGGATACGGTCCGTGTAAAAAAAACCTACGAGATTTTGATTTTTCGCATGCTTAAATGTTTTTAAAAAATCGGATTTTGATGCCATTTGTAATTAAAGCATGATATGGTCCATATAGACATATTTTAAAAATTTCTGTATTTACACCAAAAATTGTGATTTTTTTAAGTATGCCATTCGATTACAAATAGCTTTAAACGGATAATGTGATTGGAATCAAGTCGATAGGTTGTATCGTTGTCGAGAAATCGTTAAAAACGTACCGTGTAAATCGTGGAAAACCGTGTAAAAAAAACCGTGTAAAAAAAAACCGCGTAAAAAAAACCGTGTAAAAAAAGACTTCAGTGTACACTCAAAAGATTTTCAAATGTAAATAGATTAAAAGCTACGCTAAATCGCAACTCTCCTGACCGACGCATAAGTTGGTATAAAGAGAGAGAATACGTACTAAGTATAAAAGCGGTTTATACATAGTTAGTATAAACTGCATTTATTCTTCCAATGTAAACCTGGCCTTTATTTGTGATTAGATTTTGCTATCCCTTTCTTTTGCTTTTTTGTTTTGAAGCTCAATAAAAAAAACATAATATGTAAAAGATTTGTATTTCCTCTAAAGTTGGAGTAGAAACTGCATAAATCAACGTCTGAATGGTGAATGGCAATGATTCATAGCGGCTGGTAGGAATTCGGGGAACACGATGGCCCTTGTACACCACCCCAGACAGATGGTACAACTAGTGGTGCAATCCTCCATGCAGAAGTCCCGTTGATGGAATATTGATGGTGAGACGAGGAATCCGTTTTGGCCGTCTTGCATTCGTACCCCAACTATTGTGACTTAGGGACAAATTTGTGTCAACCCAATCTCCGTCCATGCAGTGAGTACAAGCACAAGACGCTCCCGTCGGCTGCCTCATATTGGTCAGCTTTTGTATCATTCGCGTGAGATAAGTGGTTGAAATTTCTGTGTGAAGCAATCTTCTATTTGTATCCTGTTCGATGCTGGTTATTTCAAAACTGCTAGGACTTAAAAAATCTTAGCAGGTAACTTGAGCGGGAGCGGATCGTCGTAGCGTAATGAACTGTATGGGAGGAATATTTAATAAACAAAATTGAACATTATAATTTGCTCGTAAACGAGTGCGTTTTGCAGTTAGGCTTGACTGGTAACGTTGACCTCTTCTAGGCGATCAGGCTGGAGTCTTTGCATATTTCCGGATTTCATTCAAACCCGCATAAACGCGAACCATCACATGACCTTACCGATAATGGTTATAAATTGTTTATAATCCCTGCTAAACTTCAACTGAAATGGTTATGGAACTTTACATGAACGTTTGTGTGATAAAGTTTTAACCTTATGTATTATGGTTTTTTGGAAGCGGACTTTACAAATAATGGGTTGTTAAGAACCATTACCATTCCAAATTCTTGTTTTCTCCATACATTTTCGGAAAGAGAACTATATTAGAACGTTTTTACTTATGGTTTGAGAACATTAATGGTAATGGTTATGGTAGTCAGTAAGGTCCATTAATGGTTTTGTATTATCGCTCAACTTTACGTGAACTATATCGTGAATTGGTAATCAGTAATTTACAGGCAACCAATTCGCGATATATTCCACATAAAGTTGATCGATGTTACAAAACCATTCATGGACCTTACTGGTTACCATAACCATTAACATTAATGTTCTCAAACCATAAGTTAAAAGGTTTTAGTATAGTTTTCTTTCCAAAAATGTATGGAGAAAACAAGAATTTTGAATGGTAATGGTTCTTAACAACCCATTATTTGTAAGGTCCACTTCCAAAAAACTATAATACTTAAGGTTAAAACTTTATCATTAAACGTTCATGTAAAGTTCCATAACCATTTCAGTTGAAGTTTAGCAGGGATTATAAACAATTTATAACCATTTTAGGTAAGGTCAATTTATGGTTCGCGCTTATGCGGGAAGGAACTTCAGCCAGTTCCACCTGCAAACCGTGATTAACCTTCACTATGTTGTCGATTCACTTCCCAACTTTGCTTGTCGCACCGGAATTCACATCGTGATGGGTCTTGATTCGGAAATTTAGTTGGAGTTAAAATAACGAAACTACCCATTTTTGGGTAGGTTAAGTTTTGACAGATCTGGGTGGATTGTACCCAAATTTGGGGAGTTTTGAAATAGCGTGTAGCAATTCGAAGTATTTGTGGATGATTTCGTTCAGTGTCGGTCTACCTTCTTTCTCAACTTAGGATGTCATTTTGTGTGTAGAGTTTCGTCAAAGCGGCAAACACAAAATCGAACAAAAACTTTCAAAACACAACTGTCATTCCATTCTGAATTTTATTTCTTGGCGTTAAAAAGTGGAAGAGGAGCAAATTTCATGTAAAAACAGGAAAGTTTGCTATCTTAAATTTATCACAATCTGATCCACTTAATCAGTCAATCCAAAACTACAACGTGTGCCTATTAAAAACCAATCGTGAATAATTTGCTCGTATCTAAACAATCGTATTCGAATAGCGGAACATTAAAATGTCGAGTACATCGCAAAAGCATAGAAATTTCGTGGCCGAACCGATGGGAGATAAACCGGTGACGGATCTCGCCGGAGTAGGAGATGTCCTTGGAAAGCGGCTAGACGCTGCCGGATTTGACAAGGTAAGTTAACCGTAAAGGAATTACCTCGTATGGAATCAGGCACATAACCTTGATCTTTGCTCAATTTCAGGCTTATACCGTGCTTGGCCAGTATCTGCTGCTGAAAAAGGACGCCGAACTGTTCAAGGAATGGATGAAAGACACCTGCCAAGCAAATTCAAAGCAAGCCGCCGACTGTTACCAATGTCTTAACGATTGGTGTGAGGAGTTCATGTAAACCACATATCCGGAAGCATCCTCAGGTTTTTCATTTTGCTTCGTCGGTTTTTATTTTAAAACTTAACTTTCCAGAATATATTCTCTCTGTATTTTAAAGACCAGATTGTTAAGCATATAACTATTAATTTTAAATGATACGTGTCTAAATGTTACAATAAATTGACCAATAGATTAAAATATCTGTATGCTTCATGTCGATTCCTTGCTGGCAAAGATTCATATTCCATTACTCACTAAACTGACATTCAAATCTATATATAAAAAAATAGAGTTGAAATTAAAAAATACAGCACTTTATTTTTGATAAAATTTACATGAAGTAATCTAGGGTAATGTATTCATTAGGGCGAAATTACTATTGTTTTATACGGCCAATGAGGTCAACCCAAATTTGAGTTCAGAAAAAAGTGAAGCAACTCAGCGATTAGAAAATTTGCCTCATGTTTTTCCGAATATGAGAAAAGTAAATATTAGATTCGCTCAGTCTATTGGTACTACTCCTAAACTGGGGAAAGTTTTCCTCATTTTCTGGCAAATTTTTGTGGTTTTCTACAGGTAAACATGGACGAATCAATTCATCGCTGAGTTCCTGCACTTTTTGCGATTAAGTAAACTGAACTCAAATTTGGGTTGATCTCATTGGTCTCATTGGCCATCGATTTCTAAAGAAGAAAACTGCTCACATGCAGCACCAACAGATAGATTTGCAGTAGTGAGCTTTTATTGGCGAGAAATCGGCGGTTGAAGTCGTTATTTACAAAAGCAGTTTCGGCCTAATGTAATTTTTCCAAACCTTACAATAGGGTAAACGCATCAACAGTGGAGGTTCGCTAGTGCAATGTGTTCCTATAGTGGCTTATTATTAAATTATTTAAATACGCATGTTATCGGTAAATATTTTTTTTTTTTTTTTTTTTTTTTTTTTAATAATTTGTTTATTTTTCCAGGCTCATTTGCTGTAGCTTTGCGGAGCCGATATTCATTGTTTAGATAACAAAATTACTTAAAACTAACGTTAGTAAAGCGGGGGCCGATTACTCGCGGCTATCTCGAGGTTAGGGGTAACAAATTGTAACAAATGGATGGCAGGGTAGGGATTGTGAACACAAGGTTTGGAGAGCAATGTGCTCTTGATCTAGAACTAAGCGACATACTGGAGGAAAAGACAAACATGGGGGTACACCGATGGAGACCTAGCAACTTGAGAGAACACAAGATGACACTAACTACTAAATCCTCAGATCGATCCGTTTTAAAAACACATAAATTAAATTAAAATAATCGAGATCTCGGCTCGCCAAGACATCTCTAACGGGTATCGCGGGTTGTTTTCCTCGGGCCCTGAGGGATGTGGATAACTCAGATCTGGCAACACGGTGTAAGGTACACGACCAAACAACATGCTCGATATCGTGATAACCACTGCCACACGCACATAAATTGCTGCCTGAGAGCCCAATTCGATAGAAGTGCGAGTCTAACGAGCAGTGATTGGACATAAGCCTTGAAATAACGCGTATAAAGTCGCGGCTCATGTCCAACCCTTTGAACCATGGTTTGTTCGACACCTGTGGGAGAATAGAATGTAACCATCTTCCCAATTCACCATCATTCCATTTTTGTTGCCAGCTGATGAGGACTTGCTGGCGAGCAATGGAGAAAAATTCGTTGAAGGCGATTTGTCGCTCAAAAATATCGCCTTCCATAGCGCCCACCTTAGCCAATGAGTCCGCTTTCTCATTACCCGGAATTGAGCAATGAGATGGGACCCAAGCTAAGGTGATAGTATAGGAGCAGTTAGATAAAGCACTCAGTTTAGATCGTATTTCAGGCAGGAAATACGAGGAGTGCTTCATCGGCCTCATTGAACGAATAGCCTCCAATGAGCTAAGACTATCCGTAAAAATGAAATAATGGTCAGAAGGTAGTGAGGCAATTCGCTCTACTGCGTAAAATATAGCTGCGAGTTCCGCAACGTATACGGAGCATGGTTTCTGCAGTTTATAGGAGGCGCTATGAAATTGATTAAATACACCAAATCCAGTGGAAGCATTTATGGTTGACCCATCTGTGAAAAATCTTTTATCGTTACTTACATGGTGGTACTTGATTGCAAAAATTGAGGGAACAACCATCGACCGATGGTGATCTGGTATTCCATGGATTTCTTGCATCATGGTCAGATCAAAATTTACAGAGGAACTATAGAAGGCTTGGAAGCAATCACGATTGGAGATTAATGAAGAAGGACCAACCTCCAGCGTCATGTACTCATAGTACAAACTCATGAATCTTGTTTGAGGATTTTGGTCGAGCAGCTTCTCAAAGTGTTCTATTACCAAAGGATTCAATACTTCACAACGGATGAGGAACCGGAAAGACAGCTCAGCGAAACGATCTGTCAGTGGGAGAACACCCGCGAGTACTTCGAGGCTCATCGTATGCGTCGAGTGCATACAGCCAAGCGCGATTCGGAGGCAACGGTATTGAACTCGTTGCAGCTTCAAGATATGTGTTTTCGCCGCGGATTGAAAGCAGAAGCTACCGTACTCTAGAACCGACAGGATGGTTGTTCGATACAACCTGATAAGATCTTCCGGGTGTGCTCCCCACCAAGTTCCGGTAATTGTACGAAGAAAATTGATTCTTTGTTGGCATTTTTGTTTTAGATACGCAATATGTTTTCCCCATGTGCATTTGGAATCGAACCAGACACCTAAATACTTGAAAGATATACTTTGAGTGATTGTTCTACCCTTTAGTTGAAGCTGTAACTGTGCAGGATGATGCTTCCTAGAAAAAACAACCAACTCAGTTTTCTCCGGAGAGAATTCGATACCCAGCTTCATAGCCCAAGTAGACAAATTGTCTAAGGTATCTTGCAATGGTCCTTGCAGGTCCGGTGCACTTGGCCCTATAACGGACACAACGCCGTCATCTGCAAGCTGCCTTAGCGAGCAATTTTCATCAAGACAACCATCAATGTCTTTAACGTAAAAATTATAAAGAAGGGGACTTAAACATGAGCCCTGGGGGAGACCCATGTAACTAATTCGTGAAGTTGTCGAGTTTCCATGAGAAAAGCTCATATATTTCTCAGACAACAAGTTGCTCAAATAGTTGTTCATAATTGGTGAAAGCCCACTATCGTGGAGTTTATCCGAAAGGACATCGATACAAACAGAATCAAAAGCCCCCTTAATATCCAAGAAAACTGAACCCATTTGCTGTTTTTGCGCATAGGCCAGTTGAATTTCAGTTGAAAGCAACGCAAGACAGTCGCTCGTTCCTTTGCCTCTCCGAAATCCAAATTGCGTATCTGAAAGTAAACCATTCGACTCGACCCATTTGTCTAGACGAAAAAGAATCATTTTCTCCAACAATTTCCGTATACAGGACAGCATCGCGATGGGACGGTACGAGTTATAATCCGACGCGGGTTTACCGGGTTTTCGAATGGCGATAACTCTTACTTGCCTCCAATCATCCGGAACAATGTTGTGCTCCAGAAATTGATTGAATAAGTTCAACAAGCGTCTCTTCGCGACGTCTGGGAGATTTTTGAGCAAGTTGAACTTGATTCTATCCATTCCTGGAGCTGAGTTGTTACATGAGAGGAGAGCAAGTGAGAATTCCACCATCGAAAACGGAGAATCTATTTCGTTACTACCCGACGGACTATCACGAACGTTGGTTTGAACCGACACCGAATCCGGGCAAACTTTCTGCGCGAAGCTGAATATCCAACTGTCTGAGTACTCCTTGTCTTCGTTGACCGGTGATGACGCGTTGCGCATTCTCCTGCCGACAATCCAGAGTGTTCTCATCGAAGTCTCTCTCGACAAACCATCGACGAACCGACGCCAGTAACCGCGTTTTTTGGCTTTAATCAAGCTCTTAAAAGTTTTCTCGAGGTCGGTGTACCGCTCGAAATCCTCGACCTTACCGTGTTTGCGGAAGCGTTTAAACGCGGCGGACTTCTCGCTGTTCGCGTCGGTGCAATCCTTATCCCACCACGGAGTGAGAGGTCGTTTGCGAACGAAAACACCCGGAACGCGTTTCGTCTGTGCTTGAAGAGCGCAGTCAACGATAAGTCGCGATAAAAAGGAGTACTCATCCAGCGGAGGGAGTATGTCAACCGAATCAGTACCACCGAGAACCGCGGACGCAAATTTTTGCCAGTCGATGTTTTTCGTGAGGTCGTACGCGATGTCAACCGAGCGAGTGGAAGATGAACCATTGGTAATAGAAATTTTGATTGGCAAGTGGTCACTACCGTAGGGATCTTGAATTACTTTCCACGAGCAATCCAACGATAGTGAACTCGAACTGAGGGAGAGGTCTAATCTACTTTCTCTTGCTGGAGGTTTGGCCACTCGTGTTACTTCCCCAGTGTTTAGAATTGTCATATTGAAGTTATCGCAAAGGTCGTATATCAGGGTTGAGCGGTTGTCATCGTACAGTTCCCCCCAGCCTGTACCGTGGGAGTTAAAATCTCCTAATATCAACCGAGGCTCAGATAAAGCTGAGCAGATATCTGAGAGACCTTGGCGAGAAATCGCAGTTCTTGGAGGAAGATATACTGAGGCAATACTGAGGCTTTTACCTCGAATATTTACCTGACATGCGACAACTTCAATGCCTGTCACGGAAGGCAGATCGATTCTATGAAAGGAATGGAGCTTATGAATCCCGAGAAGCACCCCTCCATACGAATCTGCTCGATCAAGGCGAATAATGTTAAAATCGTGGAAAGGGAGATCGGTGTCTGAAGAAAGCCATGTTTCACAAAGAGCAAATGCATCACAAAGTGAGTTGTGAACTAAAAATTTGAATGTGTCAAGTTTCGGTATAAGACTTCTACAGTTCCACTGAAGAACAGAGATCATATCCCCGACCTCATTCGGAAAATTATCCATCAAAGGATATGATCGATGCAAGGAAGGACCACCTAGAAGCTAGTTGCTTCAAAAGAGTTTTCACGAATGGAAGCACTAAATTAATAATGTTCCGAGTTGAGTCAGAGACGTTGAATATATTGAAGATGCTCTCCACAATTTCAGAAAACGTGAACATGGCATCATGTTCTTGCTGATTATTCAGCTGTTTTTCTGGCTGAAAAACTGGGATATCTGGGGTTTTA